TGATAATGTTTAAAATAAAAACCTAAATTTTACCATATAATATACTCTGGTTAATAGTATTGTATAAGTGAAAAATTTACTTATTTATTTCACTAAATATATGATAAATTGAATTTCCTTAGTTCTATAGGTATACGAGTATATGTATGTAAAATATTATTACAAATTTTTCACGTATTTATTTTAATTGGTTGGTTCCCAAATGTTAGTCTTTATTACCAGGATTTAGCACATAAATAAATAAATAAATAAATAAAATATCTTTGTGACAGTGTTCATTCTAAATTAAACTTATTCATAATTATGATTTATGAGTTATAATATGTATTAGGCAGGTTTTAAAGGCAGGTTGTAGCGTCTTGTTTTTTGTCGATTTCCATGGCAACATATTTTACCTCTATCAATGTCTTTTGAATGGATTACATTATTTCGTTAGAGATTTTAAAATATAAGGGATTCATATTTTTGTATAAATTATAATTGTATGTTTTTGAAAATATATTATAAATCCAATGCAATATTTACTTATAATATCCATATTTTTAAACGTCCGTTTTGCATGTATTTATAAATGTATAAATACAATGTGCAAACATAATACTATGTGTGTATATCAAATAATTTCGTAATTGACAATTATTTTGATAGACGATCTTGTACATGTTTGATGAAAACCGATGAAATCAAAAATGTCTCTTTAACTGAATCCGGGTAGCTCTATTCAACTATTCGGTAAGGTTATGAAGTAAACGACCGATAGGATTTTCAAAACGTAATCTAGTAATTGTGCTTGATTATAATATGTTAAATGGAAATTGTCGTATTATCATTTCAACGAAATTATAATTCTCTGAACGTGACATTAAACCTAATTATATTATATATTGCAATACAGCTGAAAAAAGGGCATAATTTGTATCCGATTATGTATATAGATAAAAATACAAATGAAAATCTATGGAATGTCCGATAATATTATAAAGGTCAAGTTGTGCCACTAATCGTCGTCTACGATGTACTCTACCAATTTAAGGTCATTGAAGGAGAATTAGAATATATAAATGACGATGAATATAAATACATAATATTTAAGAGAATGTGTCGTGGCTTGAACTAAGGGAGCTTTTTCAACTTTGATATAATACATTTTATTGTAGAACATAAAATACGTGGAAAATTTACGGATGTTGAAATGTTATTTTACCGCAACGAAAACAAATGTTAACCAAAACGCATGACGAACCGACAAAAATCACCCAAAATATTCAAAAACTTTGAATGCTTAAACGCCTCACCAGAAACACTTTCATTTTAATATAATTAATAATTTAATATATTTTGTACACTTTAATTTGTTCTACTATTTTTATTAATACAACCGGATTGTTCCATTATGTATGTTGTGTTTGCATAAATTCATATTATTTATTTTCCTTTGTATTTGTAACACCTGTGGGAAATATAAAAATAAATAGCTCTGCTAAATGAATGAGTTTTTACGTTTTTCGTTTATATTAACAATTGCAATCGAACAAATAATATTTTATGAATATTTTGAATCATTTTTCAGTTAATATATTATTGTATATATTGCATTTGTTTAATTTATATCCATGTACAATTTATTTTTCTACGTGCCATCTACGAAGAATTATGATGTCGAAGGGGTTTTAAAGTCACCAAACGTCGATATCAACGAAAATGTCTTATATTCTTAATATATATATTCTTTACCTCTTCTCTATGAGCCTACCCGATTCTATGCACATTTTTGTACGTGTAAAATAACTATCCAATAGTATACAGGTATTTTACTTTTTGACGACATTTTCTAGATTTGTTCAAACTTTTATTCCATAATTTACTCTCTCAAATGTCCACATATGTAAAAACAACAATCGTATTTTTATTAAATAAATCTTCGGGGTGACTGTGTAGGTTATTCAACAAGTATTATAACAAAATTAAATATGTTGTATAAAACGCACGTAGGACGCGAACACACATTCATCGACTTAAAAATTATTATTAAGTTCAATTATAACGCTGCCATACAATAAACCACGTCACACGCGGTGTACGATTTAAAATTAGCATATATTTGTATAAAAGTTTATAGTTGATTCGGGAAAAAACGAGGAAATATATCTTTTACATAAATTTGTACTTTTCAATGGATGGGTTTTTTTTTATTTGTATAAAGTTTTCGAAAGACCATTAATTGTTGTTGTCCTTTATTTATTTCGATCATGTCGATATTGATTCATGTACAGAAATAATATTTTCGTGAATAATAATCACGTGCAAAAAAAAATGAATGATGACTATAAGTATTCCCGTGAGACAGAAATGTCTGTCAAAAGTTTATAATATATATTCTTGTTGATCGCGTAAATACTACTCGATGATCACGATAACATACCTTATCATATACATATGCAATATGCATGTTGGATTAATGAAATTCGATTAGTTGTGATTTTGCTGGATATTGATGTATTTTGTACTTAGTGACTGATTGTTTTCAATTTTAGTAGACACATGTAGTGCTGTTTTTGGTGATCTGGTATACCTACTTTTAACTTTGTTACATCAAATTTAATGTGACGAATTAACTATAATTTTTCTCGCAAAATTGCTTGGTGTATGAACCGAGGGTCGGGAAAGAAGGTTTTCACTAATTTGTTTCTTATAAATATATATTTTTTTATTCGTCACTGTGCTCAAATCGATAGCATGTGTCATGTACGGATGAGTAAGGTATTAGCCAGTGGGAAATCTTTTTTAAGTGTATTATGGTTATACCTATGTGCCGACCGATCTCGTAAAATATGTAATATTAAATATGCCTATATTAGTACTTCGTCTACAAAGTGTACATCCACGCACCGTCTAGTTATACACATGTTTTAACGTGTAATCCTCACAGAGCCGGCGCTAGCAAATATTGATGGGATGAGGGAGGAGGTTATAAATATAAAAATTTAACGACTACTTTCTTAAACAAAATTCAACAATACTTTATATTACTTAATTTGTTTATAATTGTCGACCATATAAATAGATTATTCATAGGTGAGAAGTATTGAACACCCTACACCTCCCTAACACCAACTCTGAATTCACGAGTTAAAAAACGATAATAAAATTTATATATATATGGTGTTTGCGGGTATTATGAACGTAGGTTTTTCCTTTTCTCCTCGCGCTATAAGTATAGAATACGAATAATTTAAATAATGTTACACCATATATAACCATCCTACATAATTTTGTGTATGATGTACATGATTTTCCACGATCGATATGTCCATCGAACTTTGGCCTTACTCGAGTCTTGGGGCTCTTTTTTTTATTCATTTATTTATCCTGCCCGCCATGTCACTAACGTGCGTCATTCGCCTAGCTTCGCCAACGTCACTATCGCCGCCACCGCCACCGCCACCAAATATTGATTCTATGTGCGAGTGTATTGTATAAACATGCAAGCTACTGCATACCTTCACTATCACAGTTGATATTTCCGGAAGTCCTCTACAATTTAAAAGCTGCCGTCGATCCTAGTTTAGAAGAAAAAAAATTACTAATGCCCTGGGGGTGTTTGATCGATTGTCCACTTGATGTCGAATAATTAGGATTTGTATGAGTGTATATAGATAGGACTAACGCCGTACATTGCTCGGGATCGGAATGACCTTGTAAGTTGAAAAATAAAAAAACCTACTATATTTCATAAATCCAATTGTTTGTCGTATATGCGCTATTTCCCCGCAGGGCGCCGGTCGTACCAGGATCCTCGATCGAGTGTGGTTAGTAGTTTAAGAATTGATATCGTATTCTTTACACGATACATTATAAGTTTCATATACCGAAGGTACACGTAACTATTTTTAATATTCTACGACGCCGTTTACATATTGTATGTATCCCAAGAATCATTTATAAAGGGATGACAACCTCTCATTCAACTTCAGTTCATCTAAGAATATTTCTCGTATATCTAAGAATTGCATTTTTAGAACATTTCATTCAAAACAACGTATGTATAATAATTTATAATCTGCATTTTCTAACCTTTTTTAATAACAGTATCATTAACTATAAAAATATTTACACATTTCATTGTACTTATTTATTATTTTAAACATTATTTTTACCTCAAAACAATTTTATTTATATTTTTATTTTTTATTTTTTTGATCATTTATCCTGATGGGATATGAAAATTTATCAATTTGGCGGTATGTGTTATAAAATTAATATTATCATATGTATTATACAAAAGTAAGTCAAACTCACAAATTTCATTAAATTCATCTTAAATAAACTTGTAACTTAATGCTCCGTACACATGTACGTTATTATAAGATATTTTGAAACATCTAAATAATCTATTCATTAAATTCAATCAAATGAAATAATATCAAATAATTTGAAATTGATATTTCGAATATTTAAATGAACAAAATTTATGTTTTCAATATTTTTGTTCAGAAAATTTCAAATGATTGACCAAAATATATTCAATTTTTCGGAGTGTTATCTTAAATAAAGTTTAAAGTTTATTTTAAAGTTTAATAATGGGGAAATCATTTTTAGAAGCATTACTATATTTATATTTTTATTTTTTTTAGTTCACATGAATCTTCTCATATTATATTTGTGTAGACTTCGAAATACATAAATATAATTACGTGCATTCAATAACAAATACAATTAATTGTTAAACGTTGTAATTGATATTTGTTTACTTTATTATCAAACGAATAAATTAGGTATCACAAAACGTTTAATATACAGATAAAATACAACGGCAATTGGCTACCTTGACCGCAAACCATGGGCCTTTTATACAATAAAAATGATTACTAGTTGATAAATTATTTAGTAAATATATATATATATATATATATATTATTTAAACAGATTCTCGAACTGTAAATCAGCTCGGACTCATCGCGATTGGATCAGTCCAACATGCATCGCGAGCATACACACACCTATTATTATTACAAACGTTTATGAACGAGAACAAGAGAATCGATTTTTTTGACGTATAAAAACAAAAACGTTTTGATATCCTATCGACGGTTGTTACATTATATATTTTTTATTATTGCTATCACAACTACTATTACTATGTGTTTGTTAACCGACGGGGCAAAACGAAGAGTGTTTTTCGAATGATGATTGCATTGTACACGGATGACACGTACTCCCGTTGAATATATATTTGCTCGCGAACGATATGAATACGCGCACTCGTTGTCCTTATAATATTATGAGAGAATATTACAGTTTTTTTTATTTTCAACGCTTGTGTTTGACATAGTTCCTTAGCCGTCTCTATACCACCTACATACTTACCGTCGAACGAGAGGAATTACGTGCATGCAGCCTAGTCGCTAATATTATATACTACCGAATGGTAGGCAGTTCATACGTACGTATTTATTTAAAAGATTTATATTATGCAAATTGTAATCGCTATGGTGCTTAAATGAAATATTATTTTATTGATATTGATATTTTTTTTTCGCAACAATACCGACCGCTAGTTCTTTTATTTTTATTTCGGACAATGAGTTCTGTTATTGGCGAGGTCGGCGTGTATGCGCCGGCTCTACACCGCCTCTGGTCCCCATTCGTTTTCCAGATCAATACCAGTCGGATCACCCGTAAACGGACGTCCGAAACCTACAAGCCGGTCGGCGCCGCATAACCTCCGCGCTCTCTCTCTCGTACAGTTTAAACGCAGTTTATATCTGCCAAAAACACGCACATGTGTCGCGATAACAACAGCTGCGCGTTCTACTAGAATTTATCATGTAGATTGAATATCTGGAAATTAAAAACTGTAACACGAAATGATTAACATATATATATTAGATTCCAGCATAAATGCTTTTGATAAACCGTACAATATTAATCGTTTTTGATCAAGATATTTCATTTTTTTTCCTCATATAATTTTATTAAATACGATCGAGTTGCACGCACGCATGCATACATAGTTTTGGTTCCGTGATTAAAAAAAAAAAAAAATAAATAAATAATAATATTTGATCAATCGAATTATTTTATCGTAAATCACAAGTATAAAACGATGATGTTATATTGCAGTTTAAAACTTAATGTCATCAACTACTTTACGTACCAAACTTGGTACCAAGGGTGTGACAACCGATTTCTTCGAGAAAAGTTTAATAAATCCAGAAAAAATGTAATTACGTTTGCAAAATCTCGAAATGCTTGTATTATGTGTTCTGAAAGTAATTTTATACTCATTAAATATTCAATAGGGTTTGTCTGTGCCCTTACCTTTCTACCACCGTGCTGACTATAGATTGATTCTGTGCGAAATTCGTGTGTAACGAAAAAAGGTAGGTACGTACACAATACAATCGTGGTGTATGCAATATTATGATGTGTACAGTTTGAACACGACGTTCCTGGTCTACGGGTGCTGAATTGCAATCAGTTTCGTATATACTCTACCTGTTTCGGTGAAGGCGACGAGCACGTGCATTAAGCGTGATATTCGCGTATGCCATTTCTCATTTTACGTACAGGCATGTACGGCTAGCTTGTTTGTGTGTGCGTGCGTGCGTGTGTGTGTGTGTGTGTGTGTGTGTACGCGGTAAAAAAACCGGCCTGCGTGCCTGCCAAAAGCCTCTTCTCTTTCCTTTCTAATCTCTCTCTCTCTCTCTATACATATATATATTTCTCTTTAGCCGGCATTCGTATTATGTACTGCTACACATAGTACAATCCTTAGTTACCGCCATCTCCTTTACTCGTGTGTTTCCTTCTACACTGATATCATCATCAACATTATCGTATCGTAATTCATGCAATGGTGGAGGATTTGCCACAGAAAATATGAGCGTACGTTAGACAAGGATTAAGATTGTTTACACTGTAAACAGAGAAAATTTTTTAAAAAAATAAAATTAAAATAAGTAAAAAATAAAAGAGAACCAATACGTTATGTATTCAGACCAGTCAGTCGTATACACATACATATCTTGGCCCCAGGCATTGGTATTAGATACTAGTCCGCACGCATCAGTGACGAGTCGTATTTAACAATTTTAAAGTTTTGTTTTTTTTTGTTCATGCGTGTGTAGAAATTTTTTGTTCGCCTTAGTTGTGTGTGTTATTATTCTGTCCGTGACTATCTAATATTCTAGTGACTACCCGCCAGCGCTCACGCACATTAAAACCACAAATCTAAACTACTCTTTTTGCAATTTGTGTTATCCGTTTATAACATTTTTGATCTCTGTAATGAATTGGAGTGCTAAATACTGCACGTTGTATTTTTTTCAACAAAAATGGCCATCAGCCGTCACCGATAATCGTTTTAAAAATAAAATATTTTAAACAAGTGTCCATGGTAATGAAAATTCACAATCGGTTTAGAGTAAAATAATCTTATGGTTTATATTTAGAACAATATTCTACATTTGACATCGCTTAAATTGTATTTCAAACAATCGTTTTACACGTTATAACCTTGTGTATACATAATATATTTATTATCTATGCAATGCAGAAAGACTTGAAGTATTTTCGTCATTGCGCGTAATTCGTACATTTAAAATACTTAACGGTTTCAGTAAGTAGTTAAGGGCTGAAGTAATCTAAGCAAGACTCGACATCATCATTTTCATTAAAACCGTGTATCTGTTGAAAATCAGTGAGCGAGAAAGAAGAGTATTTTGTTGTTGACCTTTGTAACCTTTTAAGCATTGCACCGTATGACTTGGTCTTTGTCAACCGATACTTGTTTCTATTGTTCTTGGGTTGAAAATAAAATTAACCGAAAGTTCGTGTAGGCGTATACACACACACGCAATCACATGTACGCATATGGACCCTGTAATATTAACGACGGCCGACGATCATAAGTTACACAGTTTTATCGATAAACGCGTTTAAAAATACACAATTCACTACACGCGCAGACTGCAGTATCTTCTGCACCGTGTTCATATCATACACATGCATATTGTTATCACATTTATGTGCTTGTTTGCTTACAAATTTTCTTCACGCATTTCTGCAGTTTTTTTACTTGTACAGAACGATCTTTGAGACAGTTCGATTCGCTCTAAAATGTCGTATGTGTATACGTATTATATCCAAATATATAAAATGGAAGTTTATAGCTTTTAACATATATCTATATACTCATATCGTATATGCGATTACATCGTATGATATTATGCAGCTAAGAGGTTTGCCATAAACTACTGTCTCGTCGGAGTTTCTTACATTTTTTCTGGAAAAAAATTGAAAATAATATATCTTTAACAGGTTGAAATCTTTATCAGAGTGACCTGTTAAATACTGATTATTTACACGAGTAAAATGATATTAGATCAACTATATTTTTGTACTACCTATGGCTGTCGTTCAGTAACTGTGGTTGATAAATCTAAACGCTGTTGAAGTTGAACTCCCTAAAAAAATTACTGTCACATTAAGACGTATCTCAATCGTTTGCTATTTCATTCTGCAGCTGTTATTATTTTTTATGGTATGATTGATTGTATCACATCTCATTATTGTTATTATTGTTATTAATGTTATTATTCTAGGTGTTTATTTTACATTGACGCGTATAAACAATACGGACGTTGCACTTGAAATGTGCCAATAGCCTCATACTTAGACTACAAGTATTGTATAAATACAGATTTTAGTTGGAGTGTTGGATAGTTAATGATTGCTGTTAGAATGAAACAAAAAGTTCTAATGAGATTCTCGATCGCCTCGAATTCTGCCAAAAAATGTGATTTTATATTGTCACTAAATTTCCAAAAGCATACTAAATAACAAAATAGCATGAGTGTATTTAATTGTTTATTTAATTTATGGTTGAGAATTAGAATGAAAACTAACTAATGAGTTTATCCTATAATAATCAATCCTTAGTATAAAAAATAACATAGTTTATATTCAATTTGCAAATAAAAAAGTAAAATTTTAACTTGTCGGTCCAGTTAATACGATTTTTATTTCTTACTTATCATATGTGTTTACATGTTTGCATATCCGTTAATTATATTTAATACGCTTGAAATAAAAAAAGCTGTGTTAAAAAGTAGTTAAAAATTTTTTTTTTTAGGGCTCTTATTTTTAATATGTGCACTTATCATTATTATGCATATATATTTTTATGATTCTATTTGTGATCTAAAAAAAAATAATAATAACACACATATTATGTTTACTTTAAATCTTTATAAATTATTGGTTCCATTTTTGACATACTTTTAATAATTTATTATTTACTAGTATATAGTCATGTTTTGGTGAATGTAATAATTGTGATCTGTAATATTCACTAATTTTCAAACGAGTTAAAATTCAATTTTTTATATTAATAAATGTTAAGTTTAGATTTTTAATAAATAAGTAAAACTGTTGACGTAAGGAATCAACTTACTTATTGTTTTATTGAATCACGTAATTTGACCGAAGCCAGTCGTCGTTTGATATTAACATATTCATTCATATTTATGTAACATTTCGAAGTAAAAAAAATATTAAATTTAAATTTTGTTACAACATATTTATATATACATTTTATCATAATTATTTAAAAAAAAAATATTAATTTATATATATATATAATATATATTTAGCTATCTATTTTTAACTAAATAAAAAGGATATCGTTAAATATTGTGTGATATTAATATTTTTCTTCATGAATTGTTCATTGTATTATAATATATTGATATTTAAAATGAACAAATTTTTTTTCATTTCAAGTTGTTTCTTAATTAGTATATATAAAAATTACATATTATCATTGATCAGACTTCATTTAACTATAGTACCTAGATTTTAAAGCTATTTCTCAAAACAAAACTATTCAGAAAATAATTTTATAAAAATTTGCCTTTGGGTTTAATATTTTAATATTTTATCTATTTACGTAGAGATTATTTATATGATTTATAGTATGATGGAAATGTCTTTGTTTTTGACATTAATTGTATACAATTAATTGTAGTTTATTGTTATTATATATTTAAGTTGAAGTTTTTATGGATATCAATTGACTTAAAATATACTCAATTTTTAAATTGTTATAAATATTTTTGATCTTTGTTTAAATGAATATTTCTCAAAAAAAAAAAAAAAGAAAGAAGTATGTTATCCCGATTTATAAATTTAATTAAAAACATGGTCAATATTTGATGATATTATAAAACCTATTCGTACACTTTTTTTATTTAAAATTTACATTAAAATGCTGATTTGATAGTCATACTCTTTGCATGTTCTGCGTAGAATCAGAAATTAACTCTGAAGTTATAGTTACATTTGAAATTGCCACGTTAGTGAATTCTTTGAGGGAGTATCTGTTTCAGTTTTTTATATTAACGCCTAGGTACACTTGATCAAATAAACGACCAATTAATAATTTGTAAACGCAACTGTATATTAGTTTGGAAAAATACCGTTTATGGTATAGTATAATTACTAATACTCAGCGTTTTTTTTATACATACCTAATATTTTCAATTATTTTTAGATAATATAGTTGTTAGAATTACTATAAATAATAAATAATTTTCTAAGTCTCCCTATAATTTCACTTTTATAGAATAAATGATAACGTTAACTATATAATAATAATATAAAATGATTGTGAACACAACGGATTATTAGTCTTATCATTCATACCTCAGGATGCATACATTTGTTACTTTAATTGTGTGGCCTGTGAAGGTTTATGGTTCCCTGGTCGGGTTTTGTAACCTGCATTAAGAACAGTAAAATTACGACATTGCAGAATATATACAAATTGTTTATGATCTTTAAATTAATACCACCACGAATATTCTTTGTTAAACATTCATTTTAAAAATACGTATAGTTATATAATAATAAGTATATTTTATTTAAAATGAGTTCAAAATAACTTTAATTTTAATTATTTAAAATGTAATTTTATGCATACAAAATATAACATTACTTTTACTTGCTCAAATATTTTATTTATACAGGTGTGTTCAGAATTTGTATATTCACCAACTATCTAATTTTTCATATGATTTATTATCATAAGATAAAAATCTAGTTAATTGAAATAACTAGACCATATAAGCATACTAAAGCAATAAATTTAGTAGAGTAAAATTTATTTTTTATTTTGGTGTATCCATTATAAATTAAAAGTTTAACGGAACAATAAATTATAGTAATAATAATGTAACACTTGGTCAATATATATTATAAGAATAAAAACAAAATAATTTATGTTCTTAATTTTTATTCAAAACAAAGAACATGATAATTACGTGTTATTATAACGCACTCCAGTGACACTAATACACTAATTAATAGAACCATTAGTTTTAATTAAAAACGGCATCGTGCATTTTATTTTCACAAACGATAATCATAATTAATTTCAATTCTCGGAACATGTTCCCTCGTAATTGTTATTAATTTTTGCAATCGTCTTCGACGAATTTTTGTCATCGTTATGACTTTTGCATTATAAAGAAAACGTATCACTATAGCTCCAGAGATATGTAGATGGTCCTTAAATGGGTCACACATAAGTCAAGAGCAAATCAATTGTATAATAAAATATTGAACGCCAATTCTCGTTTATTTAAAAAACAAATAGATAAAAATTGATAACCATTACCCATGGATCAACTGTGTGAAACAATTTATAGATGACCAGACACACATAAAACTCTCTGTGCTGACCTTGGCGCAGCAAGTTCAAATATAAAGTCGTTGATGTCACATAAACAGTCTTTCAATCACCAATAATTAAAATAAATGTGCATTTATAATGTTAATATAAATCTTATATTTTTACAACACCAAACGAAAACATTATACAAATATAAACAATACCCACATAATTTACTTAAATTGTCTGACAACACTTAACCAGAATGTACATTTTTATTATTGATAAGAAAAAATATGTTTTGTTTTGTTGATCGAAAAAAATAAATAATCCAACGTAAAAATGAATAAATATAACTTGTTAAGTCCGGAATAAAGCTGACAAAGAAACAGAGGAGTTCAGTAAATAGTACCTATACAATAATATAAATTGTTTTTAAAAATTTTAAGTTTTAAGATTGTGTATTCATTGCTTCAAAAATCTACAATAATCATTTTCGCTTATACATTTTCAAACTTTGAATTACAATATATTTCGAACAAGATTCAAATATATTTATAGGTTTACTTTATTAACCAAACTAATTAGTATTTTTGATTATTAAACTTTTAATGTAATAAAATAATTTAGCTGTGGATAATATATTTAAAATATATGTTATACATCGCCGAGTTTTTACAATTATTTTATGAGTATTAAATGTATATAAGTATAATAGGCTAAACATAGCTCGAGCCTTTTTTTTTGGAAAACTACGATTTATCATTGCTGTCAAATTTAAAGAAATCCATTTGATAATATTGGCTCACCCATTTTCTATAATTCACAGAAATTAGCATATCTCGTCGTATCTTTTTAAATTATTGTTAGATATTGATTAGTCTAAATTTTGATTAATGTTTGACATTTATATTTATATGATTCCTATAACTGTATAAGTTCAAATGTCCATTGCATGTTATAATATTTATTGAATAAATAATATTTTCTTTTGAGAAAAAAAAAATGAAATCAACTAGCATTATAATCAGTCGACTCCAAGAAACTTGTATAGCTTAGTGGTTCTTCACTTTTTTACATCACCTTAATTTAAATCATAATAAATTATGATACATTTAAACCAATTACTAACAGGACCGGCGCTAGCAGAAAATATTAATAGATGGGGTGGGTTATAAATATACAAATTTGCAGACTATTTTCTAAAACAAAAGTCTACAATACCAATACTACTTAATATGTTGATTATTGCCAACTATATAAATAGGTCATTCATAGGTTAGGAAATATGTCACCCCCTCCCCTTAACACCGGCCCTGATTACTAATACCATTAGTCGCTTTAAGCACTAAGAGTTATTGATAAGTTTAAAATATGACGATGACAATTTTTTGGTGACACACATTACAATAACACACATGTTGAGAACTACAGTAAATGTATGTTACCTATTCTATAGTTTAACAACAGTATTTTTGAAACACCTATGTGTTGTTTAAATTTAGCATATATATTATTTGAATATCACTCAAGTTTGTTGCATATTAACATTGATATTATTAATGTATTGATTATATTTTGAAGAGCGTTAATTATTTCTGATAAAGATAATGAAATTCTAAGATTAACGATTTTATCATAAAATTATACTATGAATGAGTCAAATACATACCTACTTAAATAAATAAAATAGGAAATTAAATAATTATTATCTTAAGTGTTTCTTGTTTAGGAATAGTAAAAAACGATTTGTAATTCGATATTATAAAACTTAAAATAAATAATGTTATGCACGGTTTTCGATAAAATGTAATATAAATATTATAACATTGTCCTTTGTAGTCTGTAGTCAGTAGTGATCGTCGGTTGGCCGCTCGTGTCGTTTTAATATGAAGCGCTATAGGGTATTTTCGCAATTTATTTAATTTTAATTTTTAATTTTAATTTATATACTTTGGCTGTATTATTAAAGTGTTTTTGTTTTTTGTTCTTGGTGTATAATTAAATATTTTACTGTGTTAAAATAGACAATAATAAATTGTTTTTGAATTCTGTTACTTGTTTATCGTATGTAAAACCTTTTATCAAACCGAACGATTTCGTTGTCAAAGGCTTTGCACATTATTTTGTTTAGCTTTTATATAGTTTAACCTTTTGAATAATTTGTTTGATTTAACACGGTACCAGACATGTTTGTAATACTAATTGAAAGTACCTAAAATAACTTTTAACTTAAAATATCTTTAATTTGTCGGTTTATGTAGATATTCATCATAACTATCGCATGTCTAATAAATGTTCGAACTTGTGTTGTTTCCATAACATATATATTAGCATGAAAATTACAGAAAATTTCATGCCAAAACTATTGTTATCCGTCCCGTTGTAATTTTAAATACTTACTATTATTTAGTTTATTTTAACTCAAAAGTGTTGAGAAAAAGGTTATTAAATTATAAGCTCATATAGCCTCATAACTATAGTGTAAAAAAAATACTTCGCTTAATTAGATTAATTAGATTATTAATCACAATAGTTGTTGTAGTCTTATACAATAATAATTAAATTGTTCATCATTTTCATTTTTACATCGCGTTAAGTCTTAATATTATATAAATTTTTCCATTTTTTTTTTTTCTAGTTATACTTGGTAATAACACGTTTAAGCGTTTTGTGTATTTAATTGTATTTCTACGTTTTTACTCAGTTATTTTAATAGTATATGTTATTTTAAAATTAATAATATTATTTCTTAATTTATTTGTGAAATAATTATTCTTCTTTTATTTTCTGAAAATTTTTTTCGACAAAAATATTTTATGCAAAATGCATATTAATCCGTTTTAAAATGAGCAATTTAATTTTTATTGTATTTCTTATTGTATTAAATTTAAATTAATCATACTGTTTAATTTTTCAGGGGTCCATGCGGCCGATTATTACTGAACTGGATAACAACAAAAAAGGATCGATACGAACAGATGTTGCAGATCTTGTATTGGTCAAGTACGTTTTAATAATTAATATGAAAATGTAATAATTTAAGAGGGATAAGTAATATTATGTCCAGTGTTGCGGTTACTATTACTCGCTTATTGGAAAACATAATGATTAGTGATATTATAATGCATAATTAAATTTCTGAATATAATTTGATATTGTCAGTAAAAAATATATTTCTTGTAAAAAAATGTATTTATCTATTGTTCATATTAAATTAGTACTTTAAAAACATATAAAATCGTTTTAATATAATTACTTCATTGATAGGAAACGTAAATTGCGCCCAACGAAGGGAAATAATTGTAAATTGCGTCCCGTATTTTTCAGGTAAAAATTTCTCTATTGTAAATTGTACCCAATAAAAATATTATTTTTATGATAATTATATATGGTAGCATTACCCAGAGGACACTACGAGGAGGCGACTATCACTGTCCTATTTTTTTGGTTTACTTGAAATGAATAAATTAATTAATAAAAATAAGAAAATTAATATTTATTTTTTTATATTATGGTATTAATTATAGTTTTTTAAATATTTTTTGTTAGGTTAAAAATGTAAATAATAAAAAATACGATTACAAGTTATCTGCATAGTTCTGAGACATCGTCTTCACATATTCAGCCCTCGTAATAGTGTTTTCATTGTATTGTTGAATAATTTTTTCGATTTTTTGAAATTTTTTTTTTGATTTGGTATTTTGAAATGTAGGAACAAATAAAATGCATGAACCTATAAGGTTAGGTTCTTATTTAGGTAATAGGTATTATAGGTATTTATACTATTAATTTTTATATAAATTTCAGATTGTAGCTTAAATATTTTATCCATAAAAATATAAATATGAGGTTCCTTAGATAGTAGATACTATGGGCGCAATTTACTATACCCATTTTAGACCCCAAAAAATCCAAGGCGCAATTTACTATAGTATTTTTACTACCTATTTAATGAGGGCGCAATTCACAAGCGCTTCATTGAAAAGCTAGGTACAGTCAGGGTCGGCGTGAAGGGGGGGAGCAATCAGGGCAGTTGCTCCGAGCCCGCGGTTTTAAAATTATAATTAAGGCACCACAGTTTTGAAATGATTTATACTGTTTAGAGATTTTATTGAATTTCTAAAATTTTATTTATTAAAATCATAATTCGAAATAATTTATTGTTCTATAAAACAGTTTTAATTGTTGAAAGTAATTATTAATCCCGTGAATTGGATGCGGGATGGTTATTTTTAGACGTCATTCGCAACGAATTTTTTTTGTGTACTTATAGTATTCAGAAGATCACACATAGACTGTTATTTACTTTGCCCAGGACTCCGCAAATCCTAGTATCATCCCTGGATACAATTAATATAGAGTCCAATTGACTCAGCAGTCGAACTGCTAAGTAATTAATATAATTAAATTTATATGCTTTAACATATTATACATTATATCTACTTACCTATGATGTATAAAATGTATTCGTATTATGTAAAAACATGTAATATGAAGTGTACGCAAAATTGAGCCGTAATGTAGCACACAATACTTACATTTACTCTTTTAAAGTATTCGATCAAAAAGTGAGAAAAAAAAAACACAAAAAATATTTTCCCATTAAGTAAATTGTGTAATTTTCCCAGAGACATAAATTACTTAGAATTATGGGGAACTAATCAAAAGTGTTAAAACCTGATCTACGAAAACAAAAAATTTGATAGTTGCGCTCGCAATATAAATTACATAATATAAGTGTATTGCTTAAGTATTGCTAAAAGTATACTTATTATTATGTCTAAAAATTGACAATCTAGTAGTTATTGATCAATTGCTCTCTCGCCTACTAAATTAAAGGGGCAATTCTCCCCTGTATCCCTAGATTTGCGCCTCTGAATTTTTTTTCACATATATTGATATCCTCTGTACCTTATGTTGTTTTTAAACGGAACGAACCCAAATTATCTTATGTAGGTAATTGATAAATTTAGTTCTGTTTAATGATATAAATGATCCCTCACAAAACGTAGAGTATAAAAGTATTAAAAAGTAATACGGTTATTCGCGATTATCAAATTCAAACTATATTCATAATTATTTGATTATACCTATCGATATCATATTTCGTCGGCCACCAAATTACATTTTATTGAAGTGTACAATATGATTGTTAAATTATATCTTAATTCATTACCACTCAATTACATTATTTGTTGTATGAATAATTACATCATTAATGAGTTTAAAAAACAATTTTTATCTTTTTGTTGACAACACAGAAATTAATACACTAAGTAAAAACATACTCTCGTATTTCTAATTAATTAATAAAAATTTGCAATCTGAATTATTATTTTACCGATGTTTCCATCAAAATAGTTACTTTCGTTAGACGTCCGTATTTTTTTTTATTTATTCGTTTTATTCGTGTGGTAATAACTTAATTACCTAAATCATCTTTTGTTCGTAACTTTTTGTTAATTATTAATAACTGTAGTAAATAAAACAAGTTCTACTTTTATTCAGTATTTGAATTGCTTAAGACATTTCTATACGAATTTTTATGAATTTAAGTATTTCAACACATGTGTTACTCGTACAATTAATTTAATAAATTATGCCTTTCGTGTTTTCAGTTACACGCATAGGCGCCCATTGGGGGTAAGATGGGTCACCTTCCCCCCTAGAAAAGTAATATGAAATAGTAATTTTTTAAATTATTATTATCATTATATTATATTATATAAAATAATACGAATTTATTAATTTATTTAAAATATCATTATTATCAATATTATTATAAATATTTAGTATAAAATACACAAGTGTTATCGTATTGAGGATTATACTTCGTCCGTCGATAAATATCGATCCAAGATAATTTGTTTGAAATTCCTTAACCTAAGTAATTTACGGATACTTATCGAATAGCATATGGGTTCATCGTGAAAGGGTAAACTTGAACGAAAATAATTTCATCCGAGATGTCATTAATTTATTTAGAATGAAAAGGAGAAATTTACAATTTTTATTTTCCAATACCGAATAATACATTTAATTATATTTTTTTCCAGTATTTATAATATATTTTAATTAATTATTTTATACCATGAAAATATTAATTATATAAATAATAACTTATTTATATTTATACGTTAAAATAGTATTAAACCTTTATTTAACTTAAATTTAAGAAATATTTAAAGTTTGCCCCCTCCTAAAAAATTATCTATGGAACCCATGGTTACACATAATACATGTAGGTATTTATACCTTTATGTTTTATATGATTTTATACCTTTTGTAAGAATACTGTTTTGAAACAATAATAATAAATATTAAAACTCTTTGCATATTGTATCCGTTGCTTAACGCTTAAATGAATACACTTTGCTCCTGTATAAATAACTTTAAATGATCGGATCGACTTAATCTCAGAATGACAGTTAATTTTAACGATATAATTTGTAATTTGTTTAGCCTTCGTAAATATTTAGATTAGTGAGCCAAAACCTATCATACGGTAAAATACAAATACAATATTATTAGTAACGATTAAATTTTATTCATCATAATTTTAATTATAACTTACAGTATTCTACGCGTTAAGAAACTAGAAAGATCATTGTCATCTTGAATTGAATATAAAAGTAATGTATGTAAAAAAAATTGTATTAAAAATGAATAATTTCGGTGGGAATGTATTATAAAAATAAATAACTTTTTATTACTTACAGCTTATCAATCATTTTTTTTCTTATCATTTAATTATCTGAGTATTGCATACCTTTATGTTATAAAATAGGTAACCTAATAAATATTTATAAAATTTATAATTTATAAATTCCACAATTATTATGTATTTTTTTTATTGAATATTATAACGTTTAAAAATTAATTAGTATTTACTTTTTAAATGATGTACGTACTTACAAGTGATTGTATATTTTAAGTCTGTGTGTTTATCTTGAGATCAGAAATAGATTTATTAAAAAAATTTAGGTAACTCAAAAATATTTTTCTACTCATTTTGGACTTTTTTAAATGTTACATCTTTATAGGTACAAATGTTCATCAAACGGAGTACCTGTGACACAAACCAATGGTTCGACGCTTCCCCTGGTACCCAGTACCAGCAAGGATGCCGAGCTCGGTGGCTACGATCCGTTCGATCATCGAGTGGTCCAACATCCAACCACGTAATTAAAACAAATTATTAATAGGCATTATTTTGAACATAATGAATTTAAAAAAAAAAAAACCTTAAAAATATTTCAGCGACATGGAAACATTCATACATCTATTGAAAGGCAGTCTAGGCTCAGGCATATTGGCCATGCCTTTAGCTTTCATGAATGCTGGACTGATATTTGGATTGGTGGCAACCGCTATTATTGGATTTGTCTGTACATATTGTGTTCACATACTGGTAAGATTTGATATTGACTTGTTATGATAAAATTTCAATAGGGTTAAAATAATAAAATAATCAAAAATTAAAATTAAATGGTGAATACTCAATAACTAAATAATAATACTCTAGGCCAAGCTTTTCTTTTTATTTATTTATTTCTATACATAAACTATTTGTTTATTCATTTTTATATTAGGGTTTAAATCTCTATACTATACATCTAAAGAAATGAACACAAGTAATAAATTAGTTAAATTATCAAAATCTTAAATATTACAAAAGATTATATTCATACTCCAAATTATTATAAAAAAATTTCCAATGTTTAAAAAATGTACTATTAGTTTATCTTTTTTAAACTTACACTTAGAAATTTTAATTATAATCAAAATGTGTAATGTTAAAAAGTTTTTTTTCAAACAAAAATGTTATAATTTAATGAATTTCTATAATTGATTAATTGATACTTTATACTTTTTTTAAATAATTCATTTTACCTACGTATGACTATGTATGCTTGTATTTTTAGGTAAGATCCTCTCACAAATTGTGTCGTAGAATGCAAGTACCAGCATTGGGATTTGCTGATGTTGCCGAAGTTGCCTTCCTTGCTGGACCTCCAGCCTTCCAAAAATTTTCTGGGCTATTCAGGTATAAAATTATATTATCTTCTATAAATAAAATATTATCATTTTTCTGTCATGTATCACTATACAACTATATTATATTTAATTTATTTTTATTAATATATAAGATATTTTTATAAAATTTTCAGAGGCCTTGTTAACACGTTCCTAACTATAGATTTGCTTGGTTGCTGTTGCGTTTATATTGTATTTGTTTCGCAAAATTTAAAACAGGTAATAATAATAACGGATTATTTAAATATTATGTAAATAATGGATTATATTTTATATTAATTGATAATGAATAACATTTAAATAATTATTTATTTTTAAAACGGATTTATCATTATATATTCTTTAGTTCTTTTATATGAACCTTAAAACACTTTTTTTTTAGATATTAATTATTTTTAATAAAAAAAAATATTATATTTTTAAAATTTTTTACCATAGTAATGATCTAGAAATTGTATAAATTTAATCGTAACATATATAAACATTTTAAGTTGATCATAGTACTTACGATTTTAAATAACTTAATATATTATGTATGTAGTTTTTATCAAAAATGGTTCTTATAGTTTTATTTATCCACTTTATTTCTTATTATTACAGAAAAAATAAATATTATTCTTTTGTCATAGTTGAACTTTAAAGCTATTTTGTCTTTTACATATAATTTTAATAATTAGCTTCTTTTTTCTATTTAATTTTTACAAATTGAATTAGTAAATTATATATATATTCTATAGTTGATTACTAAAGTGGATCTATTCATGCTAGTTATAACACTTTAAATGTTGTAAATAGTATATTATATATGACATTTAATATTTACATACAATTAATAATAATATTAACTTATTTTCGTGTTTTATAGTAATTATAGTAATTTAATTAATAAATTGTTTTTATTAGATTATAAATAAAATATTAATTAAATTTATTATTTTGAAGATATTGCACAATATATTCTTTATAAAATAAAAAGTTAAATATAGTAAATAGATATAAAAATGTTTCGAAATATTTGTGTTTTTTTTTTTTTTTATATATATATATTAATAATTTTTTATGTTCTATGGTGATGATATTGCTTTTACTTATCAACTCATTTCAATTGAAAATTTTTTTTATTTATAGGTTGTAGATTCATATTTTGAAGCTGAAATGAATATCAGATGGTACATGTTGATATTGATGCCTTTTATAATCGCCATGAATTTAATACGTAATCTCAAGTATCTAGCTCCATTTTCAATGATTGCAAACTTTTTGGTTGGCATTTGCATGAGTATCACCTTCTGGTATATGTTCCAAGATATGCCTTCAACTAAAACTGTAGATTACATAGCTGATTGGCATAAATGGCCATTATTTTTTGGCACTGCAATCTTTGCATTGGAAGGAATTGGCGTTGTAAGTTTAGTTTAGAAGAACATTTATCGTTTAGTATTTTTTCTATTCCTTAATAATAATGAAATATTTTTATTATTTAATAAAAATTATTTAAATATGTCACTCAATTGATGTTTTAAGTTTGATGTAATTTTTATTTTTATATTTTATATTACTTATTACTTATTACATAAGATAAGTAAAGTGAACAAAAACACCTTAGTGGCTTAGTATATTACTTTTTATTATAACTGTATTCATATACCGATAAATACTATAAATTTATATCTGATTTATAGGTGATGCCATTAGAAAACAATATGAAAACTCCACAGCACTTTATTGGTTGTCCCAGCGTACTCAACTTTGGTATGGCCATAGTTGTTGTTTTGTATTCTACTGTTGGTCTATTTGGTTATCTTAAGTATGGAAAAGAAACTAAAGGAAGCATTACACTGAATCTACCTACTGATGAATTGTGAGTTACCTTTAACTATAAAACTATATTCTAAAGATAATGATATTACAGGTGTAATTATAGGTGGTTAAGATATTCTAACCCTCTCCTCAAATGCAATGCTTTAAAAAAAGTTATATACTAAAAATTAATATTTTGTTTATAAGAATTTTGGTTAAATTTTATTTTACTTGATTATTTGAGAAATATAGTTAAGTACCGTTTTCCTTTCTGATAATATGTATTATATATAACGTGACCCAAAAGTCTGCTCGTTTTTTAGAAGGTCTAGTTTATTCTCATTTGCCATAAAAAAAAAAAAAAAATGGTTATACAGCCAAAATAATTTAATTTTTATATTATATTAATATTTTAAAAGCATAATTAAGTATCTTAATAATGATGGTAATCCTGTAAACCATTATAAAATGTTTTAATATGTGTATACAAATTATATACTTTCTATAGCTCTCCTTACTTTAAATTTTTTGTTGAATATATATGTGAAAAAAATTAAAAACTATATTTTCAATAGAAATTGTATTTTAATATATAAATTTAATATAACTATGTATTTATTGTGGGATCTTTCATAGGTATGTGGAACAAATGCCTTATTGAGTTGCAATTTCTTTAACCACTGCAAAATAATAATTAAAATTGTACCTATAACTTATGGTTTTATATTAAATTAATGAATAATATTTTGCCTTAATTTTTTAGATTAGCACAATCTGTTAAAGTCATGATAGCTGTTGCTATTTTCTTCACATACAGTCTTCAATTTTACGTACCTTTTGAAATCATCTGGAAAGGAACTAAGCACCGGTTCACTTCACACCCAGATTTTTTTGAATATTTGCTCAGAGTGATCTTGGTTGTGTGTACAGGTAAACCTTTGTAATAATGACATATATATGGTTAAATTAAAATGTGCATCTATTCACATTTTTATATTAGTAGTACAATTTAGTATAATAGAGTTTGGTTTTTTTTATCTATAGTTGGCATTGCAATCGCTGTACCTGAATTAGGCCCAGTCATATCGCTTGTGGGAGCACTGTGTTTATCATTTTTGGGTTTAATCTTGCCAAGCTGTATTGATCTGGTAACAACCTGGGAAGAGCCAGGATTGGGCAAAGGATACTGGCGTCTGTGGAAAAATATGATCATCATTGCATTTGGCATATTGGGCTTGGTCACTGGCGTCTATAGTAGTATGATTGACATCTTTGAATTGTTCAAACATTGAGCGTACACGTTATTGTGATTTTGATTAATAAGCTACGGCAGCGACACAATTTCTCTCATACAGACAGAACAGCAATATTAGCGTTGTCAATTACATCTTAGCGTCCAGTAATATTGTTTAAAAAAAAAAAAAAAACGACAATAACTATTTTGTACTGATTTAATAGGGTGCAGCAATGAATTTTGCAAAAAACAAAAAAAAAAATGAAATAAAAATTTATGGATTTTAGATTACTTTTATCTTGTGTCATGAGTTTCGAAGGTATTATAGTATTATACTTACAACGCTTCTAGAGAAGCATTGTAATTATGTTTATAAAATACTAAACTAACAACAATTTAAATTATAATAGAAATATTCTTGTTGCTCAATATTTATTTCCTTTAGTATTTGATGATTTCTACATAGGCATTCGCTCATATTGGGTGTTTGGGTCTGAGTTAGTTCCCTTATTTAATTAAAATACTTCACATACCATCATAACTCAATCATAACTCATAATCCATATTTAAATTAAACTTTTCTTTGTTATAATGATCTACTGACGGTTGTACTTTTATTTTTCTGATATTATATACCTACCATGGAATACTAAGTACTACCTACCTATTTTAATTATTTTTGTTTATACCTTTTTTTTTTTTTGTTTATATATATTATTTTATTTTCTGATTGTTTTAAAACTATATTATATTGTTTTTACTTGTTTAATGCTGAAAAATCCAACACATTGCTGTCCATTTACTATAATAAATATTTGTTTGACTAATAATATTATTACACTTTTAATTGTTACCGTGACATTATAACTATATTTATACTTAGATTCATAACAATTAACATTCAATTTTTGTCTAGCAAAACTGAAAAATAGTTGGTTACTAAATTAAATAAAGACTAATTTTCAAAAAAACAGAAATAAAACATAAAATTACTTCTTTTAAATTTTATATCAACTCGTTTTTGTTGATTAACCGTTATTTAATAATCTAATTGTATGTAGGCATCTCCTTACTCTATGTAATATCCAAAAAACACAACAATATACTGTCATTTTTTAATGAACTAAATATTATAATATATAACTGGGCAATAACTATATTGATGTGACGAGTGCAATTAATTTTACTATTATTATTCAATAAGAATTAATTTAAAAAGTGAAATATAAATCATCACATTTATGATGGGTAAAATAAATATCAAAAAAAAAACAGTATTGAGTAAACAAAATAAAATGTACACTTCATGTTCATTAATTAGAGCCCTACTGATGTTATTAAATATTCTTTAAAGCAGCTCATATATTTCTAACAATTTTAAATTGTAACTTGTGTACCTTAATACGGACCTCATTTATTCAATATATTATAATATTATCCTTATATTTTTTTCTTTGTTACTTAATTTCTATTTGGTACATATTTCATTAGTGATTGCATTATATTTGAATTAACAACAGAACAATATATTGCATTGTGCATGTACTAACAAAATACGTCTATAAAACAAAAATTATTTTATTTAATATGTAGTTTTAAATTTATCACAATCACACTGTAATTTATCATTATTACTGTGTAGTAGGTATTATTATTTCTTATCATGTTTTGTGTAATTTTGTTTAGCTTTAACAAAATTATAGGTATGGAGCGATTAGTTAATATTAAAGAATTATCGTTTTCTGTGTAAATTAAAAAGATATTCCAAGTACTGTTTGATTTACATTTTATAGGTAGTAAATATAAAATTAAAAATGGCAACCTTGTGATGTAGTTGTAATACATTTAAATAAATGATAAAAAGAAATATGTAACTATGACAATTTTTTTATTATTGTCTATATTAGTTATAAGTTATTTTGATCAATCTAAGAGGAATTTAATTTAATTATTTTTAGACTGAAATTATACAAATTCATATCCGTCATTGTTGATTTTAGTAATCTAGTAACTGAATATTATTGTACTTTATTACGGATATTAATAATATACTTATTTTTTGTTTGTTTATCGTAACAATATTATAGGTAACATCTATTATACATTACCCATTGGCTGTCTATGTATTGTTTAGTCAAGTGCTCATTGATTTACCATTTATATTATGAATACTATTGTTCAACATTATCTTTACTAAGCTGAAACATCTTTAATTGAGTAGGTGTAATCTAACTCTTCAATTATAGTCATTATTTTTGTGTATGTATTTAAATTACTATCTGGCATAAAATGATGTTACTTTTATTTTTTTATTTGAGAAATTATATTTTTATGGTGTATACTTTAGTTAACAATAAAGAAACATACATACAGACATATGTGTATTTATGCACATTTTAAACATTGTATATTAATTTTCAATTTACAATATCTACCTACCTTATATTACATAAATAACATATAAGTAATTGTTGACATTTCTTGATGAAATATATCATTTTATTGAAAACATAAATTAATACTCTCTCTACATTTAGTATGATTTGTTTAAAATGTGTAAATTCCAATTGATATATTACATTTAAATTTTTGGAAAAGTTTTAATACTGAGAATCAGTTCAATTTTTAACAGTTTAAATATAATTCAATTTAAATCCACAAACATTTTAAAAACACTTTGATTTCTCTTTGATCTTTGATTTTAAAACACCACATTTACAGCACAATTTAATTAAAATAATAATATACACAATTTAATGTGATTATAAACTTTTCTGTTAAATTATGCCTTTCTAATTATTTGGCTTTTAAATGTATTTTATTGTATTTATCAAAGTTATAAATTTAAAGATAACTAAAATTCAAAAATGTATTTAATTCGAATTTTGCCGATTAAGATAATTTTTAAACCTTTTAGAAGAAAATATCATATTGTTTGCACATCAATCGGTCCACTTTATAGGTTGTTGATTGTAAAAATACGCCCTCTGTTAATTACTATATTTTGATAACTGTGCTTTTTTTTACGTTATAAATCGCATTTAAAAATAAGTATGTTTAATTAAATCATCAAGACCGGATGGTTGTATATTTTTATGATTTTTTTTTTTTTAGGTACCTGCCTGCCATTTTCTTTCATAGTGTAAGTTTTTGTTTTATATAATTAAAGTATACCTAATGAAAATCTGTGATGTTATGAGAAACGATATTATTCGGTAGTTGTAAGATATTAATTTAGTATAGGTAATTCTAATACATATATATACATATATATATATGAAAAAAATGTCTACGAAAGAAATTAAAAAAAATAATAATAATAATTATTATAATGTTGGCTATTGTCTTTATTGTGTTACACAATTCTTCCTTTGCTTTATACGTTGCGCACTTACGCGTAATATTGAAATGTGTTTTTTAAGTAGATACCTGTGTATAAATATTACGAATGTGGTATTGTTAAAATACGTTTTATGTTTATAAGTACTAAGGATGTGGTGTAAGGTGTTGTTTGTTGTTATACGTATATTACAGTGCGTTGTGCATAGAAATGATTTTTATCATTGTGTTTATTGAACCTAATGAGTTTTCGGAGCAGCGGCAGAGATCGATTTCCTCTGCACAAAAGACAATATGTACTACACTATCACGTTTGGGACCAAAACATTTTTTTTTTTAATTGAATGAGCATTTATAACAATGCACGGATTTTTAATCAATGTTTACACACAACAACAGGGCGTAATCACAACTAAATGACTATTCTTATTTGCTATAGCCGTATTGCGCCGTTCATTACCTAATGTTATATAATGCACATCAGCTAGAGATCATTATAATTAATATTTTCCAATGGACATATTAAGAATCTGAAAAATTCTCATGGTCCGTCCATAGGCCCAACTAGAGTTCAATTTCTGGGTGGGCTGAATTTTAATGACTCCAGCGACCCGTGGGGGCTTCGTCCCCACACCCCCAATATTGATTATCAACATAAACATTTATATTTATATAAATTAGAAGTCCTTACGACCTAACCCATAATCGTTAATAGTTTATTTCGAAGTAAAATGTTGTCACTTACCTAGTCACTTATTACTTACAGACTAGCTACCTAAATAAACACGAATAATAAGGATACACATATATAATCAATGAAATATACAGATCATAGCTATTAAATTTTTTTTATAAAGCCTAATTAAATTAACAATATTTTTTTCAACAAATTTATTTACAATTTAATTTTCGTCTAATTTGTTGGTTACATCTCTCTTTATATTTAAAATAGATAAATTTGTAAATCGATCATGGGTCATGGAAGCTCTAAGCCAATGTTTTATTCGTCTCATTGAAGAGAACGACCTTTCACAGGTGTCTGAACTTATAAGAATAGATAAAGCCACTTTATCTAACTAACGCTTTTCGACTTCTTTGACATCATTTGTATTGAAATCTTTTTTTTTACTATTTAAAGGTTAAATGCCACTCTAATTTCTGCTTTTAAGCTACTCTTTGAAGTATGTAGTAATTCCTATAATTATAATTATTATAATTAATTAATTAGTTATCATTAATCTCTCATACAATTAAAATGTATTTATATACATGGTATTACCAAATTACCTTATAATGATCAATAAACTTCATTGAATCGGTTGTAATTTACAAAATGAACTACAACTGAACTCGCCATAGCCAAGCTTTAATCAGAAAACTTATATTTAAGATTGAAAATAACACTATCCATAGTAAAAAAATATGTAAAAGTTTTCCAATAATTTTCTACATAATTTACTAATGACGAATGTAAATCATTTTCTGCCGCCGTGGTAGCTGTTAATACATAGTCATGAAGGCTACTTGACTCTCTTCTGCGATTCTTTGATCCTATATTTTGTATGTATTATTTAGGTTAAAAAAACATAAAACAAATTATCAAAATCACAACATATATACACCAGTTAATGGAGTTAGTAATTACGTCATTTTCTTCAGCATAATATTTTTATTTATTCCCATACTTTCTTAAATTCATCTTCAGATCTTAGAGTTTCAAATGTCTTAATTACACCAAAAATTACATTTTTAGAAAAACCAAGAGTTGATGTTTTATTTTGTAGTGAAACTGAATAGGCTACGGACAAAACTGGGTGGGCTTAGCCCACCCAAGCCCTCCCTTAGTTGCGCCTATGGGTCCGTCAAAATTCGAAGTACATATTAAACATATTATATTGCTTTAATAATGCCGATCGGCCAAAATCTATTTCCTGGTTAAAAAATATAATTAATTTTAAAGAATATGTGAAATAATAAAATATAGATAAAAATTTTAATAAGAACATTTATTTTTATTTTACCCTCATGGTATGTGTGCATCATTTTTAGAAAGAATTAAATGCTTGAATTGTGGTGAGACTAATTGTCTGAGTACTCCAACAATTTTTTCAAAACCTATAACGTAGCTACTTACAAACGGACCATGACTGCAGTGGCGTAGCCAGGAACTTTTTATAAGGGGGGGGGGTCAGCAAATTTATGTATATTTAATCTTATCGCTATCATTTTAACTATTAATTCTATTGATGTCGGTATTTTTAAGTGTGGTTGACATTAGTTTTTTTAACTCAGGTTAAAAAAAATAATTAATTTTTCTAGTCTACTTATTTGTTAGAGAATTTGCCTATAATAATAAATAATAATAACAATTTAGGAACTAATATAGGAACATAAATATTAGATATTAGAATATTTTCTGTCTAATTACTTAGGTATACTAAAAATTAAATTTTAAAAATGTCTTACCATAATGGAATGTTTAGACGTCTTAGAATGATGTCAAATTAAAATAAAACAAATTTAATGGAATACAAATGTCAAATATATAAACGAATAAACGAGTAGTAAGTAAAACAGTGAGACACCATCGGGCAACGACCTAACCAACTATTAACTAATAAATATTAGTTATACACAATAACGTGCTTGTGTTAAATGATCGGCAAGCCGCAAATGCAATAGGTATACCCAGAATAAACTTTGAATACGGACAATGATATCGTTTTTATCTCAGTTATCGGGACCAGACCAATTTAAAATCAACTATTAAAGAAAACCTAAATAATATGTTCCCAAGAAAAAATTATCAAAGTAAAATCTAAATATGATCAAAATATTATAATTTATGTATGTGTGTGTGTGTGCAGCGCAGTGGCGTAGCCAGGATTTTTAAATGGGGGGGGAGGCTAATCACTTTTTTTGGATAAGTAAGGTAAGAGAGAATATGAGAATTCACCCTTAACCCCCCACTATCTACCACCAAGTTTCTAAACGTAATTCAAGCATTTCAGTATAGTTTTAAAAATATTTATTAATGTATAATTTATAATAATAATAATAATTTTGGTTTCAGTGTTCAGTCACTTGCTCCACTCTGACAGCTGCATTCTCTTAGGCGAATTTCTAGTAAATTCAGTTATTATTTCACTTTCATTGAATTGCTCTTTTTTATTTATATTAGCCATAGCTAACCCATTCAGTCTGTTTTCCGATATGGTGCTTCTTAAAAAAAATTTTTAGCGATTAAGTGCTGAAAACGTTCTTTCCGGAGTAAAAGAGGTAACTGGTAACGTGGCGAATAATTGTAAAAGTATTTTAATGTTAGATCGAAGATTGGTGCGATGAGAGAGTGAATCAAGAGCAGAATTCGGTTTTGGAATAGTATTTTGACTCTATTGTTGCCTCCATATGAACAGGTCAGCTCTGATTGTAGATGAGGTATCATCATTGAGATCTTGGACATATATTTTAGCAGCTTTTATAATATTTTTATCGTCATACATATTTAAATTGGCCGGAATAAGTCCTTCAAGTGGCATAACATCAATAAGCCTTTGATTAAAATACATATAAACATGGCCCATGGGGGAGGCTATAGCCCCCTTAGCCCCCCTTGGCTACGCCACTGGTGCAGAATGTGTATAATACGTTTATAGTCTTTATACAAACTATTAATATGATTTCCAAGTCAAAATTCTAAAATATAAAAATGTTAAAGAAAAGACCGTGTTTTATATAAAAGTTAATTTACCATCTCTGGTTCATGGGGGGTCTGACCCCCCCCCCCCCATTGACACGCCACTGTATAACTGAGTCCGTTTATTTTAAGTAATCATGCATTCATATGTCCCTCTTATTTTACTATTCAATCTTTAGCAGGAGCATTTGCTCTAAACGTATCTGGTGTTGTTAGATGTAGTCAGGAGACGGACGACGTACCTTTTTTGGATCCGATGCCCAATTTTGGTGAGAGAAATTTTTAAACGAATTGACACATTGCTAAATAATAACAGTTGATAATTGTGACAAATGAATATAAAATAAAAATCGTGCATAAAAAAATAAATAAATTCGTTGACATGTATCACCATAATAATTCGTAATATAATAGGTATTTATTGACATATATGTGTATCTATATATTTATCCCTACAACATAAAATATTGTTTTTCGGTCGACATAATTTTCTACTTTACATTATCTAAACGATTCTACAATAATATAGCATAATAATTACATTGTTCATATCAATAAATATATATGACAAAAATTAAGGTACCTTATAGCTATTGTATCATAATAATTATTATGATAACATTAATATAGGTGTATGACTATATGGTTTGTGTTTTGAATGATGGTCAAAGTGTATTCTAAAAATTTACCACGTTTATTTTAATATTATTAATATAAATGTATATTTTCTATGTATCAATAATCATGCTCTAAGAATTTATGTTTTAATGCAATTTATTCTGATTTTGTATTATCAACCTTATATTATGATTATATTAATTTTAATGTTTTCAAAACGTTAGCTATAAATATGCATTGACAACTAAAAAACATAAATGGACCAATAAAAAAAAATTAGAGTTTAAAACTTTTAAAAACCCACTGTAATGGATTCACATTGGTTTTAATCAGTTAAACAATACCAAAAAAGGAGAGGTTATCTTTTCTACGCATCATTGCGAATGCGGTTCGCGTGTTTTTTGTTTATAATGTCGGGAAAAAAGTGCTTTCTAAAACTATACTCTTTTCCAAAGAGCCGCACATAAACATTCGGTCAGTATTATTTTAACTACTTGTCATTAGGTACAATTTTGGACCAGATGCTTGTATATCATAATAGTTCATAGGCGATTTTCAAGGTACCTATTACTATTAAGTATTATGTAATGTTATACCTATAGAGTACTACAAGTTATTGTTATACTATCATTATAACTGGATACCGTCATATGTGATATGCATTACACATCTGCAGATGACGTATTCACTATTCAATGAGTCAGTGTCCGGAGGAGAAAAAGCATAAAGTTGTGAACCATTATCTGTGAAATACAGCTTATTCATTTTTAAAATCCAAGTCAATAAAATACTCAACGGGTAGGCATTAGGTCCATCAAATTAATTTACTCTAATACGCTGATAAATTACTAAACATTTTCAGTCCACATTATACGGCGATATTGTAAATGAAATTGTTTGTAATTACCACAATGACAATAATGTAAAATCAAATGTTCCAAAGTTCGTTTATAAAATTTGAGGCATTTTTAAATAGTTTTATCGAAAATCCGATAAAAATAAAAAAAATCTCTAATTATACTTGTATAAAACAACTACCTATTTTATGAACTTTCTCTAAGTATTGATAAGTTTTACTCGATCAATTATTTTTAAAAATTATTTTATTTGTTTTTACTTTTTTTCTTCAATTAGATTTATCATATTAATACTGATAACTATAATTCACTGAGTTGACTCAGGAGGAGGCTCAGGCCCACAGGTGGATATTGGGGGGGGGGGGGATTTGGGGAGAACTGAACGTAATCAAAGCACAACGACGTCAAAATAAATTGTGTATTTTAATATTTAGTATTTATAATTTTTATATTATTTAGTTGGTATACGAGAATGGTCTGGAATATTTACGGACTATCGTTATTGGGGAAAACCATATTTTGTGAGTAATAAAGGAAATACAGCTACCCGAAGAAGAAAGAAAAAAGGAAATAAAGGAATAGATTTATACAATTAAAATTAAAAAAAAAATGAGTAGTTATTCAATATTTTATATTTTTATGTTCCTATTACCTGTATATGTTTGGTGTCTCAACTAGAATAAAGTAGGAGTAGCCCAACAATTTTTCAAATGGACAAAAAAACTAAAATATTGCAAAAAATTAATTCGAAAGTTGTACGAGTTTCGTGCTACAATTAAGGTAATAATAATATACTGCAGTCGAAAGCACCATACCGCATGAAATTATACAGAGTATAACTCTTGTTTTTAATTTATATAGAATACGGTGGCTTTAGATTATAAATTGTCTCATTTTATCAATTATAATTAAATAAATAATAGAATAAGGAACCCCATGAGACGACGAGAACCAGTGAAAGTCGATCAATTTTCTTTTGTCCCCCGACGAGCGGTCGTATACGTAAGATTTTTGCCGCCGTATTATTTTAAAAGCAACGAGACGACCCGATCGTTAGTGTGATCCTTTTCGTCGGTGAGTACATTTTTGAGAAAACACAAGGATGAACAGCGATTGTTTTTACGGATTTCGTGTACCGTCTTGCCGAACAAAATCCGAAACGTACCCTTGGGCTTTTTGTCGCTGCAGCAAATGGATAATTCCGTCGTCTCGCAGAACGAGTTTTGCGCATTTACATTATTAACATACAATTTCGCCGCACTCAATAGCGGCGAGCTTTGTACAACACGCTACGGGGACCATCCTTGTCCGCGTGGTACCAACCAGGACCAGTGTCCAGTCTCGTCATGTTTTCCTAGGTAACTGGTACTTTGGGTATACGGAACACACGCTGTGCGCGCCGAAGTGCAGCAGATCACTGTCGCGACAATGGTAATCATGAAAAACCACCGGAGCGAAACGCGGAGCCGTGTACAGGTAACTTAACGTTATCGTGTTTTGCGTTTCGGCTTAACCAAATTTAGCAATAATAAAGATACGAAACGAACAATGGCGCGCGGAGAGAACCTCATTCTCTCAACGACCGTTGTGCGTGGGACCCGAACGGGCGTGGGCCACATTACGAACGACGACCGCGAACGTTTCGCACATGCACACGGTAAAACTATACATGTACACACAATATCCGCGCGCGCTGGTAAGAGCTTCGCAAACGTTTATCGTTTCCTATTCAGTTACTCCAGTGCTCCGGTCCGACCAACAACCACTTTATCACACGGACTTCATCGTCCATCCGTTGCAAACAAGTAAGCGTACATAATTATTATTATTATTATTATAAAATCATATACCATAGTATTGTCGTGGATAAATAAACAAAGCAAATACGTGAATGGTTGCTACATTTTAATATCTACGTACCTGCGTGGACGTATTTATTCCAACTTTCCCACTGTCAAAACGTTGCAGTCATGCACTGAATGTAGTGTATAAACCTAGTAGGCATTCAGCGCCGTGTTAAGATATCATGCCGTTGGAGGAACATATATTTTGCTGCCTCATAACCAACCCCTTCCCTATCCTCGCAACAATACCGATCATTACAAAAATCAAAAAATGTTTAAAACAAATCTGTATATGAATCCAACCTGTGAAATATTCTAAAATGTAGCCACCGAGGGCAAATTCTCCTTTTTTTTGCTAGTATGTACAACGAACATGTACTGCGGTTAATAGTAAATAATATCGTCAGTCGACAAGGTAGGCATTAAATATTTTTCTAGGGTTAAATATACGGGCACAAAACGGCCTAAAAATATATTGTTATAATATGCTGATTGATTTTGTAATTACTCCCACTTGTGCACTTGTAAATTAATCCTATTAGCTGTAATCAAACAAGCTATTGACAAACTTAAGTTCTTCGAGTACAAGTACTTATGACGCGCACAGAAATAAATTATGCAAATTCGATTTAAGTACTACCATGTGATAATCGTAAGATTTTATTCAATATCGGTGCAGATAAAAATAATCGATTAAAAAATTTAATAAAAACGATTAAAAATATTATTTTTTATCATTTTGCAAAATTATGTAAGAGAATATTATACTATCATATTAAGTCGGTGTACATAAACGAAAAATTTAAAAATACGTCAATTATATGAATATATTTTAATCCATACTTAGGACGAATTGAAATTATAAATAATTGTATAGTTATGATAATTAACCTAAATATTTGGGAGAAAGGCGAAGGAGAAGAAGAAAAAATATAGTTACAATAATTGCATACTTCATTAAAAGGCACAAATATAGTACCTTTAATATTAATTGTATCTTTTATAGAACAATATTTTTGAAATCTTGATAATTTTTAGCAAATTTTAATAATATATTTGAGAAAAGTATGTATAATTTTCACAGTGTTATATTTTACTACTCATTCATTTTTAATTTTATAAAAATTGTTGTGTTAGACTTACATTATTATTTCAAATTGATTAGTGATTTTTTTTTTATACTTAAAATAATATAAATCTACATGTTTACATAAATTACTGTAGTTAAAGCGTTGAGAGAAAGCGGCTTGGTATATATATAATAGTATTTTAGGCATACATCTCTACAGAACTCCATTTATTGTTAATAAAATAATGAATTGGGATTATATATACAATTTATCTTTTTAAGATTTATCAAAGATCCAATAGCTGTTTATTTTAAACGCTGTATTAATATTTTCAGTAGAGAGCAAGAGTAGCCTTAGCTGATGAATTGGTAAATGTACGGTATACGGAAAGACGAATATTCTAAATATTATTTGAAAGTAGGTAACCCAAGTATGTACATATACGCTTATACGACGTAAATCAACAAATAATATTGATTGGCGTTGAATACGCACTCATCATAATAGAATAAATCAATATTGTTATGTAGGCACTACAAAAAAAAAAAAAAAAAAAACTGTAGCATCAAGGTCCTCGTTACATGATAATATTATTGAAGATATTAACTATTGTAATGTATGGAAAATAATATTATAATGATATAAATAAGTATGTATACAGGTATATTGTTACCGAAAAAATCTTTGACCGATTAGGGTCCACAACAGTAATAATAATAAAAATAATAATAATAATAATAATAATAATAATAAAAATAATATTAATAATAATACTAATAATAAAAATAAGAATATTGAGGGTTTGACCAAAAATGGTTATATCAAGGAAAACGCGTGTTCAAGACGGCCCACTTGTATGTTCCAACCCACACACATTTCATATACCTAAACCGTGTATGTGTTTGTGTGTGTAAATATATATTAAAAATTATTGCGAACGCGTTTCCGATATAAAAGAAAAACGCTACTTCCCCCATAATCTCTCTCTTCCCATTCCACATCGCCCTGAATATAGTTCTCCGGTCCTTCTACACGACCACAGCAAACACCTTCGCACCACCGTTACAACCTTAACCTGCACGCCCCCGTAATTTAAATGTCCCAATTGAGCTTGTACGACACTGACTCATATATCAAATATAAAAAATACATTATAATTGGCACGGAGGCTTACCTATTATATACAGTCGAACGATTTCTACAGTTTACCAGGCAAGTTCAATAAATGGATTTTCATCCTCTCGCCCTGTGACTATAGAAATGTATTCATTTTTATTAGAATAAAATAGATTTTTTGAACATTATATGTTTACAATCCTACTTATTTTTTATTATTGATCCAATTTTACACTAACGTATCTAATGACTACTTTGAAAGATTAAAAATTATTAATTTGTTATCTGAAAATAAAGCCGAAATGATTAGCTAATGTGCTTAACAAAGAGTATGTATTGTAAGTACTTACAATACTTGTTCGTTAATTGATGTCATATATAGTGTAATGACGTTCGAGTTTGCGTATATTACACTAATAGTACCTATACCCTACAGGTGATTATATTCATAACAGTATAATAAAAAATAAATAATGATAAAAATAAACGTATCTTATGTATATAAAAATATATGTATACATAAAAAAATAAAATAATCTTATAATTTCAAAGGCAATTTATGTTTAATAATATATAAAATATTTTAATCCATATAATTATACAGAATATTAAATTTAGTCAAATTCTATTTTTTTTTTTTTTTTTTAATAAATTTCTTCGTATATTTATATACAAATACATTGAGCATATATTTTTGATTTAACTTAGAAACTACAGTAATCTGTAGTGTAGCTATATAGTAACTGTTTATTTTTAGAGTAGGCATTTAGATATTTACATAATATTCGTTTGTCTGTCTTGTATAGTGTCCATGCAGAAATTCAATTTATGTTTAAAGAAAGCCTATTCGTATTGTATTTACAAGTAGTGGCGTTCTCAAGTGGAGAGGGTTAGGGGTTATATCACCATCATTGTCTATTTGTGCCGACCTACAGAAAATAATTTATTAGTTATTAGAAAAAAGTTTTTACTTATAACCCTCTATAAATATTCATTAGGTATACAGATTATACTATACTATACTTATATTTATACTTTAATTATATATATATATATATCAGTCGATGGTCATGAGTAGGGAACGGATTTATATGTAATAAAAATACAGAAATATTTACATATATATGTAAGTATAATTTATAAAATATGTGCTAAAAACATCCAAATATGTGGGGGGAAAAAAGTGATTATTATTATTAAATTATCAAAATGATTTGTTGCATTGAATTATTACAATATCTTTTAAATTATCAAATGTTAAATGTCGCCTATTAGGTATCAAAATATTTTTAAAACGGCGAAATTATCGTTTCATATCAACCGATGTATAAAAGCATATTTCAAGTGCGTACTATCAGAAGGCGATAATTCCAGATTTTTAGAAGGGTGTCTGCCACTCATTATGTCATTGATTGTTTTAAAATCAATATTGCCTGGAATTTTTTCAGCATGAATTTTCTTTTTTACAACATCTATTGGTCCGCTTACGAGTTTTAATCGCTGATTCAACAATTTGCATACTATCATTTGGGGACATATTTTTTATTAATAATTTTGTTAAATTATTTTTTAATTAAAATTAAATTATTTTCAATGTTTCGTTTAGCATAATATTTTGAGCTTTTCCAATAGCGATAGAAGTTTCTGGATCTAATTTTGAAATAATTTCTTGTATTTTCATACGAAAAAGACGTATGAATAATGAAATGATAAAAATATGATTAAAAATATTTAAAAATTAGTGAAATATGTAAAAATATGTAAAAATATGTAAAAATATGTAAAATAAAAGTATCATCATTTTAATAGGAGTGATTTAAATCATAAACATTTCTTATCAAATCTTAAATATCTCGTTTTAATAAAAATATGTATTTACATATAAATCCGTTCCCTAGTCATGAGTCACATATTTTATGAAATTGAAATATTAGTAAAATACTTTTACATTAGTAAATACATGTACTAGTGATGTGTTTCTAATAGGGGTCGTAGTCATACACGATTATTAGAGTACACGTGTACCCGCGTTACGTGAACACATGTATTAAATCTGTTAATATCGGTGTTTTCAATACACGGGTATTTTTTACTGATACACGTGTATTTAATACCCGTTACCCGTGTATTTAATACCCGTTGCCCGTGTACTTAATACCATCTCGTATGTACTACCCGATAAGTAAATATCAGACACCTGTTTAGTTATTAATTCAAGGTAATTAAAGGTATATTATATAATTATTCAAATATTGGTATGAATCTTGGTTGGCTTTCACAGAGATTGGCAATTTTTTTTAAACTAAGTGGATATTTCACTCTTGTAAAAATTATTTTAACTTGAATACTTTATTATACCTATTTAAAATTACTTAATATTTTGACTTATTCTATCACAATTTATATAAAATGTTTTCTATATATGTCATCGCTTCGGCGCATACGAATTGCGTCCCTAAATTATATTTTGTCCGAGTTGCATCCACGGTTTTGTCACGACATATCTGAGTTGCGTCCGCGGTTTTCTCGGGCCATGGGGTTTTCAGCAACTGTAAATATTGTTTGGTGATAAACTCGTAGATAATCTCGATTATCATCGATATCTTATCTATAAATACTACCTTAAAATTTATTGTTGGAAATTAATTTTGTTCGTGTTAGCCATGTTCATGTTAGTTCATTATTAGTCTTACTTCGTAATCCATTACATTTTGCATTAAATATAATTTATGCAGGTTTTTTTAATAAATAATAATAAAATTCATAATACAATTG